TTTTTTTTTAGTTGGAGTCTCGCTCTGTCGCTCAGACCGGAGTGCAGTGGCCACTTTTGGCCACTGCAGCCTCGACCTGCTGGGCTCCGGCGATCCTTCTGCCTCAGCCTTCTGAGTAGCCGGAATTGCAGGCGTGCGCTACCATGTCCGGCTAATTTTTTTATTTTATTGTAGAGATGAGGTCTCGCCTGCCCAGGCAGGTCTCGAACCCACGGGCTCAGGCCATCTACTCCCCTCAGCCTCCCAAAGGCGCGGGGTGACAGGCTGAGCCACTGAGCCCGGCCGAGTGCATCAAATTGCTAATGGTACCTTCAAATCAAGAAAACAGAATATTTTTCCAAGTTAGGCAGGTCTTTTTCTTTCTTTCTTTCTATTTACTAATTAGAATTGAGTAGGAAAAGTAAATAGCTTTGTAACTTAACCCCACACAGTTTTAGAGTCTTGCTTCTCTTACGGAAAAATAGAGAGTTCACAAATACTAAGTTCCCAAGATAAATTTGCTGAATTAATCTAACAGTGATCTTAGAAAGTAATTTTGCAAATGGGTTTTCAAATTTTTATGATTGATTAATTTTTTCCAATTGTTTTAAATTTACTTGTAGGTGAAAATATTTAGGATAAGTGTACTTGCAGATAAATTTTATTGTGGGTTTTTCATATTTTTGACTTTCAAAGAGGGAAGTAATGGAAAATAGGTAATACACATAGAAGTTTAGAATCCGGTTGTAAAAAGTTGGCTGGTGTCCACACTGAACCAGGCACTGAGAAGGAATTGTGCCATTACAAGCCCTGTGGAGTTTCACGTGAGACAGGAAATACAAATACTAAGAAATAATAAAGAAATGTTACTGAAAAGCAAATAATCAAAAGCCGTTCTTTTCTCTTGCTGAGACAACCAGCCCTCATGATACTGATCTGTGTTATCCTCTGATGCCAATAATTTATGTCAGAGCCTGAAGGATGCACACGGCCATCTTGATCTAGCACATAAAAATTAATTTGGAAGATTCTTTCCTCTTGCGTCTTATTCAGTCAGAATTCAACTCCACAGTCATGTTGGCTCTTCACAGCTTCCAAAATGGCCTTATTATATTTTCACCCTTCCACAGGCTATATATTCCTCATTTATGAGCGTTAAAAACTTTCAGCGGCGTAATTCACGTGCCCCTGACAGATAACAAGTAGATAACTGTCCTCAGAACCTCCTGAATTATCTGGCATTCAAAGGTGGGCTCCTTGGAGGCAGAAGACAAATGAATAACCTTTTCTCATTTTTTTTTGAGTTGGAGTCTCACTCTGTCACCCAGGCTGGAAGGCAGTGGCATGCTTCCAGCCACCGCAGCCTCGACCTGCTGGGCTCCGGTGATCCTTCCGCCTCAGCCTTCCAAGGAGCCAGAACTACAGGCGTGCACTACCACGCCCGGCTACTTTTTGATTTATTGTAGAGATGAGGTCTCGCCAAGTTGCCCGGGCGGGTCTTGAACCCACAGGCTCAGGCAATTCATTCGCCTCGGCCTCCCAAAGTGCTGGGATCACAGGCTGAGCCACTGAGCTTGGCCTAGAAAATGGCAGCGCCCTAGAGAAGTTAACAGCTAACTCACCTTATCTGACATCTTCACTAGTGTGCCAAGGTCACCATCCCCTCAAGAAAGGCCATTCCCCAAATGTTCCCAGAGCAAATCATCATTCGTGCCACAAATCAAGTGCTACTTTTTTACACTCACTCATGGTATTTAATCTGCTCCTTTGACATGTGAGGTTTGAATAATAAATTAAGACCTCTCAAAATCAACAACTCAGGGTCTTTGGGAAAGTGTCACGCACACTGTTTTTCCTTCTTTCTCTCGTCTCTTTCTGAAAGGACTCTGTTCCTTGAAATCTGGGTGCCGAGCCAGTCATAGTTACACTGAAGTGCACGTTCTCTGCCAATATTTTTTTCTTCTGGCATGAGGGCTGTGGATGCATTTGCATCTCAGGTCTTTGTAAAACATCACAGATGCTCGGAGCCTTAAGGACAGCTCCCACAAGAGGGGAAGAAACAAACGCTGTCTAAAGCCGTGATGGATGAACAAGAGCAGGAAACAGACCGATTTTCTGACAGTGGGATTCCTATCAGCCAGCCCTGTAGACACGAAAACAGTCGTACAGACAAACATATGTTGTGGTGGGGAAAAAGGCCCCAAGTGCGGCCTACATGCCCCAGAAGCCTGATCTGAAGCATATTTAGCATTTTGCTAAAGCCCCAGTATTGCGGGGAAAAAGTGACAGTACAAGGAGTTCCCATGGGCTGGGTGTGGTGGCTCATGCCTGTAAGCCCCGCACTTTGGGAGGCTGAGGCAGGAGAGGATCACTCGAGCCCAGGAGTTCAAGACCAGCCTGGGCAACACAGTGAGACCTCATTTCTATAAAAAGAATTTCTGGGCGTGGTGGCACACGCTTGTAGTCCCAGCTATTTGGGGAAGTTGAGGTGGGAGAACTGCTGAGCTCAGGAGGTCGAGGTTTTGGTGAGCTGTGGTCCCACTGCCATGCTCCAGCCTGGGTGACAGAGTAAGACACCAATTCAAATAAAATAAAATAAACCCCAAGGAACCCCCAGGATACCAGGAAGATCTAGACACGGCCTGCATGAGAGTGGCAGTTTGTTACTTTGCCTTCAGGCGACATACCTACGCCATCCCAAACCGATGGGTATTTTTCATCTCTGGGAGGAAGTTTCTGGTCGAATATCTGTCTAACCCTCAAGATCAGAAGTTCTGGCCCGCCCTGGCCACAGATGAGTCTGCTCTCTCTCCCCAGCTGCTCACAACCCCTCACTCCGTTCTGTCTCCGCCAAGCTCCTTTCTGTCTTCAGATTCCCATTTCTAGTTTTCTCTCACTCTGGCAATCCTTCCATCTCAGCCTTCCAAGGAGCCAGAACTATAGGCAGGTACTACCATGCCCGGCTCCTTTTTGATTTATTATAGAAACGAGGTCTTGCCAAGTTGCCCAGGTGGGTCTCGAACCCGCGGGCTCAGGCAATCCACTCGCTTCGGCCTCCCAAAGTGCTGGGATGACAGGCTGAGCCACCGAGCCAGGCCTAGAAAATGACAGCGCCCCAGGAAAGTAAACAGCTAACTCATCTCATCTGACACCTTCACTAGTATGCCAAGGTCACTGTTCCCTCAAGAAAGGCCATTCCCCAGGTGTTCCCAGAGCAAATCATTCATGCCACAAATCAAGTGTTGCTTTTTACATTCACTCGTGGTATTTAATCTGCTACTCTGACACGTGAGGTTTGAATAATAAATGAAGACCTCTCAAAATCAACAACTCAGGGTCTTTGGGAAAGTGTCACGCACGCTGTTTGCCCTTCTTTCTCTCATCTCTTTCTGAGAGGACTCTGTTCCTTGAAATCTGGGTGCCAAGCCAGTCACAGTTAAAAGTGTGGCCCTGACTCTTCTACCAGCATATGAAATTCTCGAGGTCAGGAGCCAGAGCCTATATTTCTGGTTCTCCATAGTGTTTCGAATACAGTAGGTGCTCAGTAAGCGCTCTGTTGTGGCCCGTGCTCTTTTCATTTTTGATAAGTGTCATGATTCCCTTATTTGTTCACTAATCATTTCTGAGAAGCTACTGGGAGCTGTAGAGGTGGTGGCGGTGCCCTAGCTGCCATCTGCTATCTGGACTGGTCCCTGTGTTCTGTTGCTAATTCTTCCTGTGGCCCCATGGTTAGCATGACTTGAAACAGATAAAGGGGAACATCCCCACCCTCTGTCTTCTCTGGGCCTGAGTTGCCTGGTCCCACGTGGGTCTGCTTATTATTCCAGGCTGTGGACAGTGGGGGGAGGGTGGAGGAGAGACCAGTGAGCAGGGAAGAATCCTACTGGCTGCATGAAGACAGATTGTGGGGATGTCCATTTCAGTGTTATTTAGAACAGAGTTAGGGGTGCTCCAGTTAGATAAAACATATTGCAGAAGAATACCCATACATGATAGAGTATAAGAAACACAGGTTATAGAACAGTGGATATTTGCAGGAGGTGGCTAACTTATTATTAAAAGGCCACTGTGGGGAAATCGAGAAGGAGAAATGCCAGAGTATTGACAGTGAGCGTAGCCAAGTGGTGGGATTACAAATGATTTCTTTGAGTTTGTTTTTTCTTTTGTCAGAGTCTCACGTGGTCACTCAGGCTGGAGAGCAGTGGCACAGTCATGGCTCACTGCAGCCTTGACTTCCCTCAGACGATCCTCCTACCTCAGCCTCCCGAGTAGTTGGGACTATGGGAATGTGTCACCATGCCTGGCTAATTTTTTTTAACTTTTTTGTAGAGACGAGGTCTCACTGTGTTGCCCAGGCTGGTCTCAACCTCTTGAGTTCAAGCAATTCTCCCACCTCAGCCTCCCAAAGTGCTGGGATTACAGGTGTGCGCCACTGTACCTGACTTTTCTTTGAGCTTATAAACATTTTCTACAAGGATCCAGAATATAGAAAAAGAAGATAAAAATTTTTTAAGGGAAAAGGAGACCAGAATGAGAGCTCTCCCAGAACGGTAGAAACTTCTGGCAAGATCGGCATAAAGGAGGAGCCCTGAGCTGAATGGGAGTGCTGACATATCCACCTTTGACCTCACTGCCCAGGGGTGCACTTACCAAACCTCTCTAAGACTACATTTTGGTCTATTTCCCAACTTTTGTCTCTTTGGATACGTGCATGGTGGATGCATAAACACGTGCCGCATTCATTTCCCCAAGTCACCAACTGCTTAGAAGCTGGGTTGATATGTTAAGTTAACCTGAAGTCTGAAGATTTAGGGTAAAGATTGTTCCCGATCGACTATGTTGAACATCCAAAGTCACATTTCCACGGTGTTGAGAAGAGATGAGATGAGTTTGAATGGGTGGTGGCTGCACGCAAGGTAAGTAAGGAAACAGTACCCCCGCGTCTCCTCACGAGGGCGCCACCCACGGCCCCGCACCTGGACAGGTGAGAGGGAGGACGGCTTGTCTGAGCCGGGCCCTACCTTGGTCTGGAATGTGCAAAACATATGGGTCAGAAACGGGTGCTCCCAGGCCAAGGAGAGGACTCTCTTCTCCACCATCGTACACTCGACATCGTCGTCCATCAAGACCACGTCTTTCTTTAGGGCTTTTATGGCGAAAAACTGATTGGTTTGCCTGAACTCTGCGAGGAAGACCTGGAAGGGAAGGGGAAGAAGCAACCTGGTTTTAGAACTTGGATCCCAACCAGGCTCGGTGGCTCAGCCTATAATCCCGCGGCTTTGGGAGGCTGAGGTGAGTGGATTGCCTTAGCTGGCGGGTTCGAGACCCACCTGGGCAGCGAGACCTCATCTCTACAACAAATCAAAAAAATCAGCCGGACGTGGTAGCGCATGACTGTAGTTCGGGCTACTTGGAAGGCTGGGGCAGAAGGATAGCCGGAGCCCAGTAGGTCGAGGCTGCGGTGGCCGGGAGCGGCCACTGCACTCCAGTCTTGGCGACAGAGTGAGACTCCAACTCAAAAAAAAAAGAAAAAAAAAAGAACTTGGATCTCACTCATGGAAAAAGAGGCAAATCTTGAGAGAGACCTGGGCTGGGGGCCGGGGGAAGAAAATTCCTTCTCCAGGGCCCACTCCTGTTGGATAGGACATTGCTGAGACAACACAGGCCACCTCACTGGTTTAGGGTACTATCTAACAGTGTCATACTATCTTTGTACCTTTCCAAGAGTTTCACGAAACTATTATGTATGGGGATGAGCTTTAATGTCGTTTATATTTTCTATTTTTCTAAAGACAGGCTCTCACTCTGTCACTCAGGCTAGAGTGCAGTGGTGCAGTCATAGCTCACTGCAGCTTCAAACTCTTGGGCTCAAGGGATCCTTTTGCCTCAACCTTCTAGTAGCTGGAACGATAGGTGTGCACCACCATGCCTGGCTACTTACTTCCACTTTTTGTAAAGGTGGGGGTCTCACTATGTTGTCCAGGCTGGTCTTGAAATCCTGGCCTCAAGTGATTCTTCTGCCTCAGCCCCCTGAGTAGCTAAAACTATAGGTGCACACCACCATGCTTGCCTTTTATTTTTTTTTTAGAGTCAGGGTCTTGCTATATTGCCCAGGCTGGTCTTGAATTCCTGGCCTCAAGTGATTCTCCGGCCTTGGTCTCCCAGACCACTGGGGTTATAGGCTTGCGACACCACACCTGGCCTGGATGGGTTTAAAAATGTGTGCTCTGCCTTGCCAGGGACCTGAGAAAGTATATAATAAAAATTCAGAGAAACAAAGTACATAGTGAGGGCAGAAGAGTGGAGTGTGAATAAGAGAACTTGTTTGTACTCGAAACATCGTTGCCAATGCACGCAAAACCTCGCTTTAAGTTTTACCCAGTTTTTCAAGGCTTTTTAAAGAATCCTTGAGGGATACAGTTCTCTTTATATACTTAAAAAACAAACATATTTGCATGTGATGACACAGAGGCGAGTAACATTTTTAGGACCTACTATGTGTCAGACATTCTGCCACGGACCTTACAAATGCTGCCCCATTGTATCATCTAATGGATGGCACGATTACACAATGGGTGATTCTTAGTTCATAACACTGTGCAAGACAGAAGCTAATAATAAAAAATCCTTGTACCAAAGAGTAACTTAACATGTTCCAACTCACGGAGCTACTCAGAGAAAGATCTCACTCCAAAGTTTCCTTTTCCCCCTCGACTTCGTGAGTCTTCTTTCAAAGGACACCAGATGGCATCTGAGAATTTCAACAATTTGAGTTTCTGCAGATCAGATGCTGTGGCAGCACGCTGTGGGCAACTGTGAGGATGCGGCATTTGGAAACTGAAAGCGCTAGATCTGGTTTTATTTCACAGGCATTGACTCGTTGTGGAAACGTGCTCAGACCCATCAGCCTCTCTGGGCTTCGGTGCCGTGTGACGGCGTTCCCTAGCTTACAGGACTACTGTGAAAATCAAATGAGATGCCCCCTGGGAAAGTAGACTCTAAAATGCTCTCTAAAGGACAGTTACTGAGAACACTTGTCATCTGGTTCTTTCATGGACTTCTGGGAGATGCTGGCATCAATGATGCTAAACCAGTGCTGAAAATCAGAGTGTCTAGGGTGCAGTGCTTTATCGCGGTTTTCTGGTAGCTGACTTGTTAGAAGGGATGGCGCTTAGGTGAGAATTCAGGCCGATGATGTTGTTCCCATCCCTGAAAACACACAATGTGTTCTCCTGGGCTTAAAATGAGATGGAAAACAAAAGCATGGAGGCCGCCATTTTGGCGCGGAGCCGTACTTTCCTTTTGGAGTCAAAAGAGAAAGGAAAGGCAAGTTTTGGAGGGTTCTTGGTGCTGTGAGAAAGGGAAGACGGTTCTCACATCTTGCATTCATGCCTCCCCTCCTCTGCTCTCTCTGTGGAGAGACTGGGGTCCCCTTTGAACATGGAGCAGAACCCTGGAGCACCATTGACCAAGGCAGGTAGGCTTCACTTAACATCTTTCTGGTTAACCTTGCTCAAATGCAGAAACCCACGTGGGAACAAAGAGAGAAACACTTCATAACAATGAAAAGTACTCTTTTGGTGACTGTTTCTATCAGTGAAACGTCCTAAAATCAGCCACAAACCAAGAAGCCGAAAAGGTAATTTGCATCTGTACCTTGTGCTTTCGATTTTTGACAACTGGTTATAATTGCACATTCATTGATGCTAAGTCGCAAAGAAGACAGGCTGTAAAACTGCCTAGTACACGCTGATGAACACCAGCGGGCCTGCTGTGGTTCACATTATTGTGGAAAATAACAAAAAAGAGTTCGTGGCTATCAGTTACAGTAGCTGCCACGTGCAAGGCCGGGTGGATTTTGCTGGAAGGCGACGCATAGGCGTTTACATCCAAACCCCAGTTGGAGCACAATATCGCTCTGTTGTGTCGGATACTCAGTTGCACTTGACTTTGCTTATTATTAAGTGAACTGGGTAAGTTTTCCTGCCAAAGTCTACCGAGCAGGTGCAGAGCATGATGTTAGCTTCGGCCACGCAGATTCAGGGAACAGCAGCTTCTGGTTAAATTTTTCCTGGGAGTCCCACCCAAGAATATCAAACGCCAGGGGCCCCATTAATCCATTAGCTATCCTGAAGATCAAAAAGAAGCAGAAAGTTTCTGTTTACCCAGCCATCCCTCAAGTCACTAGCTTGGAGATTTTCTGCTGTCACTGCCTGTTGATTATACTTTCATAAATATGTCTTCCTTCTCCTTCTCCCATTTCCGTTTCGTCTTCCTTCCCCTCTTTCCTTCCTCTACTCCTCCTCTGTAAGCAAGACAGACAACTCATAACTTGGGTGTGTGGCAGGAAGAATTCAGAGGGACTTTTCCCCTCACTTTCCAGGACTCTCAAGCGACAGCCTTGCCGTGGGCTGCACTGTATCTGTGCTGAAGTCCTAACCTCGAGGACCTCGAACGTGACCCTATTGGGAGACAGTATCCTTAGAAAGGTAATGAGGTTAAATGAAGTCATTAGACAGGCCTTAGTCAATAGGACTGGTGTTTTTATAAGAGGAGAACTTTTAAGCCGGGTGCGGTGGTTTCCACCTGTAGTTCCAGCTACTTGGGATGCTGAGGTGGGAGCTTATCTTGAGATCAGGAGCTCAAGACCAACCTGGGCAATATAGTGAGACACCACTCTCAACAAAAGAGAGAGAGAAGATTTAGACACAGACAGGCACAGAGGGAAGATGACATTCAGACTCAGAGAGAAAACAGCTACCTACAAGCCAAGGAGAAAGGCCTTGGAAGAAACAGCCCAGCAGACATCTTGGTCTAGGACTTCCAGCCTCCAGAACTGTGGAAAAATGTGTTTCTCTTGTTTAAGCCACCCAGTCTGTGATATTTTGCTACAGCAGCCCAGGCAAATGATTGCAAGCCTGAAGACACTTAATGGGGGGGGGGGGATCACCAAGAAAAACAATGCTTGGAGCATGAGAACAAAGCAAACACAAACAAAACAAACAAAAACCTGTGCGAGATAGGAAGGGGCTGGACACTTTCCTGTTTCTTTGGTGCCCAAAGACAGCAAACTCACAAGTGCATGGGATGTGTCCACTCTCAAAGAAAAGTGGCTTTGGGGAAACAGAGTCCCAGAAGGCAGAGGCTGCTTTGGTCCTAGAGTGCCCTGGCCCCTGTTTACTCAGGGACATCCCAGGAAAGTGCTCTCTGCGCACTGGTCCCACCAGTTGGTTCCCTCCCAACCAGGAGCTTTGCTCTTAGTTCCTGGAACCCACCCCCCTGCCCGGCCCTCCACACCACGAGAGCGTACCTTGCCAAAACTTCCTTTCCCCAGCATTTTGTGTAGGATAAAATCCTCGATTTTCAGTTTCATGTGCAGAGGCGGTCTTTCCATGTGCACCTCGGGTTCCGGATGATGGCATGCCTTATCCATCTCATCCAGTGGAGACTCCCAGGAGATTCCCTGAGGCTCTGAAAATGGCAAGCGGTGGTTAAAGATGGCCACGGAGTGAAGGGTCATTCTAGGGACTCAGAGCACACGCGAGATCTCTCTCCCGTGTCCCACGCTGAAGCCCCAGTATGATAGCTGAGGGGGTTTGGGTGGGCCCTGCATTTCAGGCAGCGTTGACGCCTCCCCACCCGTGGGTGATGGCAGCACCCACTTCCTGGGGGTCTAGCACGTGGGGTGTGGACTGTGTCTCTTTACCCGATCGATTGGGAAGTAGCTGAACTTCAACACAGTCCAACCAGCAAAAACCTGCATGTGTAAACCACATGAGCACTGCTAATGCTATCAAATCGTGGACAACTAGGAGTTTTTGCCAAATTTGAGGAAACATGAGTTTCCATTGTCTGCCTGGCTCACGGGCACGGTGGTGTCCTTTTCTATGAATTACGGCATAAGAGAGAGAAGGCAAAATCTGGCGGATCGTCAGAGATCCAAACTCCACCATTCATCAGAGTTTCCAAGGCAAGAACATGTCGTTCATTGCTGAGACAGGGTCTGTTCTGATACCTTGGAGACCCTTCCTGCGTCGAACCCAAACCGTTCTCTTTAGTGTTTAAGTCGATTTAGTTTCTGCTCAGTGCCGGGGGGGTGTAGAAAAACCATTTCAGAATTCCTCCACCTATAACGTTACCTTTATATTTTAATCTCTAGCTATCTTTTATGGTCTCTCTTACGTCCAAAGACAGTAAGTATTTTACAATGTCTGCTGAAACTATTCCGACCCCAGGACCACGGAGACATGTCCTCTTGTGGACATGAATGTTAACGGCATGAAGCCCTGCTCACCTTCTTTTTTCTACCCTTAATTTTTTTTTTTAAATTCTCAAAGGTGCAGAATAAGAATGCCTTCTGTGGTCTTCCAGCGGTCGAGCTTTAAGATACGTTTGTTTCTGTAAAGCCACTCAACGCTGATGGGAAGTAACAGTCTATAGGTCTACGGAGACACCTGCAGCTTGCACTAGTTTCATCTCATTTTCTTCCCCCAACATGCCACCCCCTTATGGAGGTATTCTAATGAGGCATACGAGGGGGGACCCCCAAAAAGCCAGAATTATCTTTTGGAGGGTGGGCCCCCTGTAGTACACTTGGAGTTTGTTCCTCAGGATCAGATGGTCAACCAAAGTTTTTTTTTTTTTTTGAGTTGGAGTCTCAC